TGTAATAACTGGTTTTTTAAACCCGATGGTCTACCATCAGGATAAAGCCATCCTTTTAAATCATCTTGTCGAGCTAAATATTCTAAAACATAAGCAGCTGCTTGTACCATTTTTTCAAATGCAAATACATTGATATTTTGGATTGAATCACAAGCTTGATGATAGCAGGGATCATGAATAGCACCGGCAATACCACCCATACCTTGACCAAGCATTTCATCATAGTAATTACGTTGTTCTGCTGATTTTATATCGTCTCCTCCGGAAAATAAACCACCAGCGACTATTCCTTCAGCTAAAAATGGACCATAATCACTTCGACCACTAAAATCCGTATAAGTCCATGGTAACTTCTGTTGAGTAAACCATTGTTGATATAAAGCTGTAATTTTGTTACTACCTGGCAGAGCATGAGTTGGTGTGTCATTGTTTGCTGATCGTCCATCATAAATACCAAAGATATAATTCGGTGAACCAAGCATATCATAATTAAGATTGATCAAGTAATCATTGAGACGTTCACCAGCAGTAGTATTAATTTTGGCTTCCTTAACATGATGATCGGCACCAAGTAGACCAATTTCTTCAGCACCCCACCAACAAAATCGAACTCGATATTTATATTTTTCGTAAGTAGATGTTTGAAAAAGACGAGCAAGGCTAATAGCTAAACCAAGATTAGCTGCACTACCACTACCTAAAAATGAGTATAAAATAGATATTAGAAGCTTTCTTCAAATATATTATTTACCGTTATCGTTAATGCCTGGACCAGCAGGTACACCATCACTATGACTACCAATAATAATTGTTTGAGTAACATCACCTGTTGGTGTATCAGCACAGATATTTCCTATAGGTGATAATGGTAAGTCTTCTACTTGAATAACAAGTTGAACACTTGCATGGTTTGATGGATCTTGAGCAGCATTAGCAAGTTCTTGACCAACACTAGATGAGAGAAATAGAGCAGGTAATTTGTTTTGTTGACCAAGACCAACAGCAATAGGTGATACACGATCAGGTGTTGCACCATCATTGTAGATCAAAATAGCAGACACATTATATTTAGCAGCCAAAATACCCTTGTCTTCAAATGCACAAATTCCTCTTTTGACTAATGCTACTCTTCCAGCTGGTGATGGCTTAGCATCTTGCCAGTCCTTATCTAAGCAACCAACATTGGGAATAGCAGTAAGAGGAATAAAATCAGGAAAATTCGCCCCTATCGAAAATTGAACATGATAGAAGTCGGCAGCAGTTAGATTAGTTGAATATTTGTAACTTTTGGTGACACCATTAATTGATGAAATTAAAGTTGGGATGCCATCAAGAGCAAACTGCCGTATAGGAAAGAATTGTGTGGATACCTTATAGTTAGTATTGACGTTCAGTGTTTTTATAATATAATCAAGTGTTTGATTAAAACCAATTGTGGTAACAGCTCGATTTCCATTGTTAGCAGTAGCTATGCGTTGTAATTCTTTGAGATGGTTCATTACATCATCAATGCGAATTGATTCGGCTAAAACTGAATCAAGTGAATTCGATGTAGACGTTGATCTATTATTTGATCCGTTGTTAACCTTGACTAACGTAGCTATTGCAAGAGCAAGAATAGCAATTGTAATTAGTATTCCGATTCCCATACCACCTATGATTAATTTCATACTTCTACTGTTACTATTGTTATTGTTGCTGTTTATTCCGTCGACAGGCGGCATTTTGAGCTACTGTTTTTTTAAGCTTTGCACGGTTAACAACAGAAGAAGAATGTCAAATAAATATAGCTATAAATGCTTATTATTTATTGGCAAAGATAAAGGAGATACGAAAAAAGTATTGATACCCAATACGAATGATACTTCATCTTTGTTTTATTTTACTCGAACAGTAAAATGAAATAAAAAATAAAATAAAATAAACTCAAGAGATTTAGATTTTTATGATTGATGTAAGTAAAGCGAAAAATCTTACATCTACAGTCTTTTCTCAATTGATAGATCTGTAATACCTGTTATAAAATAATAACAATAGAAGAATGTTTTGAGACACTGAATTTATTACTATTGTTAAGATTTAAGTCATAAAACGATTTGAATCATTGAGAAAATAAGAATGGAAAAAAATCTACGAAATATTTATTCAACATCTACTATAGATTGGTATATGATCGAAAATACGAATAAAAAAAATACATTCCTAGATATAGATTCGCCTAGAATCTTTCTTAATACACAGAGAGTAACAGTACTATTTTTATATCCATGTCACACGCATTTCATAGAAGTAAAATATTCTTTTATATGAAATTTGAAAAATTATCATAGTGAAATAATCATTCCTAATTTCGATATCATACAACATTTTCATATAACGTAATTTGAACATATATATTATAAAAAATTTTATTATGAGTTTTCTTAAAACAATTATAATTTGTTGAAGCAATACAAGATAAAAAACAAACAGCACACGAGTAGTGTTGCAGTCAAGAATATTTGTTGATCAAATAGAATTTTAATTGTTTTATTGCAACAAAAATTAATATTAATACTTAGATTTTATTAATGGGTGTACGTCTTTGTATACAATAACTGCAGACTCACACCCATTTTTGTTAATATTAATATGTAATTGAATAGTTGTGTTTATTGCTATGTGACAGGTTTCTGGATAGTGTATGAAAGCAACAGACTGTGTAAAGCATTTTCTCATCCGAGACGAACTTCGATAGGTGTTAAACGATTAGGTGAAATGTCCACTATTATCTCATACCGTCGTCACAACACTGACGACTAAATAATATTTACAACAAAAGAAAAATTAATGGAAAGTATAATCTATAAGAAAAGCAGAACTTCATTTAATGAAACTGATAATATGACTATCATACTAAATGTTTGATCAAGATTATCTCATGATTGAAGTTTTACGTTTCAGTGAAGAAAACAATGATTAATTGATAGTTGTTTGTCTGACATATTTATGGACTATTTCTAAGAATTGAGAATAATATATTTTTGTCTCTCTAAATAAAAAACTCTGAATTTATCGTTATGCATACTTTCAAATTTTCTTACAAACTCAAGTGCTGTTCTGATTAAATTTTTACTTCGTCTATTATTTGATAGTATGACATTAAAAAATTTAAATAGATACTTCCAAAAAGATTTATGGTATATATTCAAGTTAACCTAACCTACAAAAGAAAATGAGACAGAGTCTGATGAATAATGAATTATATTTAGACAAATATACATTTTATGGATGTACGTATGAAAATTCAAGCTTCACATTTCTCAAAGTAGCATATTTTAACTATTATGTAACGGATGATGCAAGAGATTTGCATTAGTTTTGTTTTCAAAATAGCATGACAACAAATCTTCATGTAGATTTAAGTGTTTTCTCATTAGACAGAGCAGATTTTTTTAATGTTTCCGGAATTTCGAAGAAAATTTTCATTCACTAAGAATATTGGTCTTACTTTTCCGTGTTTTATCGAACTTTTTAGTGCTATGATAGGGCATTGTAAACAAGTTAAAGTAAAATTCTCAAGTGATCGATTGAGTTTGACATCAATTTTTTTCTAATGCATTTTGCTAACGACATGTGTTCTTAATTAACACGTGATTTCGAAAAATAAGATTCTTTTTTTCGCAGTCAAAGTTGAGTGAGCTCCGTACAAAAGCATATTATACAAAGTAAACTTCGACAGTTTTTCTGTCCGACTCTCCTTAAAAGTTTTAATTTGAATCTAAGTATTCTACCATAATGTTTAGACATATTTAGAGAACAGGACATAGAGTCGATTCAGAGTCAACTAAATTTTTTTGATAGTAGGTTTTGTTCTGTAATATTTGTTATAAAAGCTGATGCATTTTGAAGGTTCGAATATGAAACAAAGTTAAAGTTAAATTCAATTCCGACTTTTTTGAATGTCTATAGGTCTTGATAAGACATCCTTGAAACTTGCGAAATACATTAGTTTGTACAGTAACTATTAAAGAACAAAACCTACTATTTAAAAAACGTTAATATATTAAAATGAAATTTCTGGCAAAAAAATTAGATGACTTCGAACCGATTCCGAAATTGACTCTTGACAATATCCTACATATTTAGGATTCTGTGCAAAATTTCAGCTTGTCAATTCTTATGCATCGTTACATTTATTCATTGCTTTCATAAATTTAAACCGAACAATTATAGTATTATTGATTGGTTAGCGATTGATCAAATTGTTTATAACTATCGAAACTGACGCAAAGCTTGTGTTTGATGAACAACAACAGGTGCATATTCAATTTTATCATCAGTCATTCAATTGTTCTCGTCATGTATTCGATATTATTACGAGTGATGTATCATGGTTCTATCATTATGGTTAGAAAAAAAAGAAGGACAATTACAAATTGATCTGCTGTACTTTTCTTAATATATGAGAACTGATGATATTAGCATTGTTGAAGGTTGAAGACATTCTTAATTCAAGTATTTTTCATCACTTAAAATCACGACTCACATCAGTCCACAGCTAAAACCATTATATACTTGATCAATGTTCCTCGACACGTAACCTTTATTACATAATCGTATAATTCATTCTTTGTATCAATGTGGAATCTGATTTAAAATAAAATGTAAAAGAAGTTATGAACAGAAAACGACTCCCGGAATGGATTTATGAAGTCAAACAGTATATTAATAATAATCATTGTTTTCAACACGGTCATACTGTATGCTTAGATCATTATGGCAAATATTATTTTTTATTTTGTGATCAAATGACCACACATCCAATTAAATTTTTATTTGACAAAATGTATATAAATTGAATCTTAAGTAGATGATTAAAATTCTTTGTTGTCAATAGTAAAGAAGAAACAAAGAAATAAAGAAATAAATGAACACTCGTCCTTCAGCAAATAAATCAATGTACAATTTTCTTTCTTGTGTATCTCTATTGATTTTAATTTATAGTTCATTCATAATAGATGGCAAGTAAATGGTTTGTCGTAATATCATTGTATTTTTATTTGATTTTTTATCGAATTCATTCTCGTGAATCTTCACTACAATGTTGGCGATGTGAAGTTACAATTCAATCATCTAAACAAGCTGAAGTCTTTCTTGATGGTAGGTATTGATATTCTAATTGATCTTTATATTTATATTAAACTATCTTAAGATTGTGAAGCACATTTTGATTTTACACAACATACAAGAGAAGATTGTAATGGTAAATGTTGGAAATCAGTTGATTTAATTGATATACGACAACAATTTGAAAATAGAACTCATGATCAATCATTAATAAAATATAAAAATCGATCAAAATTAAAATCAAGTCGTCGATGTTTTTCAGCTGATGAACTTATACGAGCTGCTGAATTAAGTATTAATACATCAGATGGTTGTCGGCAAGTGAAAAAAGATGATCAAAAAATGAAAGAAATTTGTTTTTGTTCAGATCAAGATATGTGTAATAATGCATGTAAATCAAAAATTAATTTTTTTTTGTTTCCATTCAATCTTATTTTTCTTGTATATGTCAAAAAAATTATATGACAACTATTAATAAAATACAAACTATCAAATTTATAATTGTTTTATTTAATAGTCAGATTAAAGATCATTTTTCTTTACTACATTTATTATTCAATAGAAACTTATTCTATCTGAACAAAAAAATAAATTATTTGTTCTACATGTTTTGTATTAATGAACAAATGAGTTTTCTTTCATGAGTCGAAATATCTGTATACATGGACAATAATGGTAGATAGTTGTTCGGGAACTGGTAAATAGTTGAACGATGTTCGATTGATATTTCACGAAAGTTTATTAAACTCAAAAAACAAATGCTAGTATGAGATGAATAAGATATCTGCTATTAAAACACTCTCATAAGATATGAGCTGCTTATCTCATAAAAATGAGAACTCCTCATTTGATAGTGAAAGGTTTACTTCATATTTATTTCAAGATAATTGAAATATAGTTTGGCGAATATCAGTTTAGAGCAGTTAGTTTTTTAAGTTTTTCTTTCGATGGTAATAATTAGTAAGAATCTGAAGAAACGTTCGTGTAACTGAAATGATGCTCTATCAAGATTAGTAAGTCTGAAGATTTCAGTAAAACTGCTTAGATGAGGATCTGTGAAAAAGCAAGACCTCCGAAATTAGCTTTCTGGCTTTCATTCCTGAATTTTGGAAAAAAAAAACATTTACTAGAACAAGAAGAGATGTCTCCATCATTTTTCTTCATTGAACTGCATGGAATTTACAGAAAACTCAAGAAGTATTTTTCTTTTCTTCTTCATTGAAAATTTCAATGTTGCTGTTGTGTTTAACTTTCTAGAATCTTTCTTAAAATGAATGCAGTTCGATGAAAGAATGTTATTGAGTGGTCTCATCTTGTTCTATTAAATAAAAGCTTTTCCTCAAAAAGCTTCGAATGGAAGACAGAAAGCTGGTTTTAACGATCATGATTTTGTCTCAGGACTTGATTCAGGTAGTTATAGGGGAACCTTTGTGCCTAACAATTTCAATAGAGAATCCTTTCAGCTAAACAAAAGTCTTTTTATGTGAATAAGAAAAGTAGTATAATCTATGTAGCACTCAGATTATCTGATACCAAGGAACTGTAAAAATATAGAAGTCAATTTTTTGGTTCTTCATTAATTCTCAAAGTTCTTAAACCGTTTAAAAATTCTAATTTATCGAATTTTTTATAGCTCTGTGCTTTCAAGAAAATCAAATCTAGGAGAATTTACACATAGTTGTCTTGTGGTTGATTTCTCGTGTTTTTTTTTTCAAATCATAGTCAACATGAAATACACTATTCGTTGTATGTGATTGCTTTGTCAAAGAGGAAAAGATAAGTTTCCTTGTTTTTTTAATGAGTCTACAATCGATGTATTAAATACCATAAGTAATAATGAGCGAAAAACAAAGATCTGATCACTTAACACATTCTGCAAGAATTAAATCTAATTTTAATCTATTGATAAGTCATCAAATTCTAAGAATATCTTATTTCTGATTTTCTTTTCTTTTAACAAAACCCACAATTTGGTAGGTGTTACCATTCTTTACATACATTGTTAACACATGCTGTTTTTATAAATACCAATGGCAAACAAGTCGCTTTTACTCATCGATTGTATAACACATAATCAGTCTATACGCTTCTCTTAAAACAACAAATATTTCTATTTGATATTCTATTTAGTGTCATATTATCTTACAACAGAACATTTCTTGCGACAAAAGAATATACATTGATCAAAATACCGGAAAAAATCGATTTAGTTTGCAGCATGCTTCTCTTGTTTATGTCAATAGTACTAGACATTGTGTTAAAAGTATGTATGCCTTAGAGTTTAAAAAAGCAGTATTTGCTTTCCAACTCTTTTATTTCAAATATTAGTAATCATCAGTAATCCTATTATATTCATTCACTGCTTAAACTTATTTACTCACTTAGAAATACTCAAGAAAAAAAAATCTAATACAGGAGTCTTTTGATGCAAAATTGCTATAGAATTGAATTCTTTAGCAGAAAAAAATGTGCTGACAAATCACTGTTTTGTTTAAACTGCTTCGATATAACTTCATGTCGTTCCCTTAGGAAGAAATCAAATTCGTCATCGGCGTACCGAAAAAAAAGCGTCTTCTAGCCGTTACTCATCAAGTAACAAAAAAAAACTAATTTCAAATCAACATTACATGCAATAGTCTACTAAATTTTGAAAGAATCAAAAGCAATAATCAACTTTTATGAATAGATTGCATCTTTTCTTGGTACACGAGGTGGTACTTTACGGTTATGTCTATATATGTAATCGGCATAGATGAAGAAAAAAATTGTGTCAGTTACTGAAAAGTTTAGATCGTTTTTATGAAAATGTTATTTCATCACATTTAGTATCTAACGAACATGTTTGACAAAAAAAAATACTGATAATTCATTGTCAATTATGTGACCATCATCAAGTATAAAACCATACAAGTTTTCATTAGAAAAACAAAGTGCTTCGTCACGTATATTGACTTGATAACATAATCAATACGTTTACTTTTAAAGTTTCCGTAGAAAAGTCATTATCTATTCACTTGATTTCGTTCTACAGTCTTGTAAAATAATTTGTTTTGAGTATATTTGAAAAGAAGAATAAGATATTCCTAAAAAGTCAGCCATAAACAAAACCAAGCCTTGATAAGGAACGTGATATATAAGTGTTTTGATGCTATACAACCATTTTCGGGTCGTAAAATCATTCGATTTTATTTCCTCTTTCGATTGACTATGAAAAAGACTGAATTGAGCAATGAAGAATGAATGATTATTGCGAATCAAAAATGAACTTGATGAGCGGATTTTTTATTGAAGAGCAGAGTAGACAAAAATAAGTATGCAAAAGATGATATAGACAAAAGAAGCTAAAAGAGTGATCGATACATATAATGTTTGATGTTTATTGATCGGTTACGCATAATGAAGCTAGTGTCGCTTCACTAGGTTAGACTTTCCTTCTTGGTTAAGCTACGGAGTTGTAGTCGTTGTTGTAGTCGTAGTAGCAGTCGTTGTGGTAGTCGTTGTGGTAGTCGTAGTAGCAGTCGTTGTAGTAGCAGTCGTTGTGGTAGTCGTAGTGGTAGTCGTGGTGGTAGTCGTAGTAGCAGTCGTTGTAGTAGCAGTCGTTGTGGTAGTCGTAGTAGCAGTCGTTGTTGTAGCTGTAGTGGCAGTCATTGCCGTAGTCGAATTTGTAGTTATCGTACTTAATGGGCCAGTAATAGAAGATATTTGTCCATTAAGTGTGTCTATTTTTTGGTTGAGATCATCGAGTCGTTTGTTCAGAGTGCCAAGAGTAGCAGCAGCAAGGGCAAAAGTAATTATTCCAAACAAACCAATTATACCCAATGCAATTAGGATACGTATACCGCTCTGCTCTCCTAAAGCCATTGATGATTGACTGCTTGATTTTTCTTTAAAACGAAAAGAATATTCAATAAAATCTTGAAATAACTATCGCTTGTCGAATAGTGTTATTGGCAAATACGATATCAATACAATGTACACTGCTTTATATAATCGAAAATCTATGACGACATTGAGTGGGTTTACTGTTAAAACAGAACAACAATTTCTTTTTTTGATTTTTTTTTAAGGACAAAATATTCAGTTTGCACAGATTAAAGCATAGTCTGCAAAAATTATATTATTACTAATTTTTTTCATAGAAGTATCATATTTCAAGTAAAACCTATGACGCTAGCTGGTATTTTTTTTCTCCAATATGCTTATGATCAACTAGGAAGTATTAAGTTGAATTTACATTTAGCCTTTCATAAGTAGATGAATATCATATTTTTGTTGTACGCAACATGTGCATCCGTTTTCAAAAGAGTCTTCGTTACGTTTTTTCTTTCTGACATTTATATTTGAAAGTACAGATTATAAAAAATATAGATTTTTGGTTGTAACAATGCTGTATGATAAATTGTTTCAATTAGTATAAGGTCGAGAATAATGTTGGACTCAATAAAAAAATGTTATAGATAAGTAAATTGCTTGTTGTTCTGTAAAAACTGACGTCTAGAAAACGGCCAAGATCACACATTAAACTATATGAGTCGTATATTCTTTTTTTCTTGCATTTCACTTTCATGTTATGACACTAATGAAATACAAACATCATTGTTTATAGAAGCATCATTTTCGATCAGTAAAGTAATACACAAATGATCAGTGTAAATATTTAATAGTCAGTTTCTTTTTATTTAAGTATCAGTAAAAATACAGAATCCATCAGCAGCAGGTATAAGTTTTATTCATACAAAAGATTAATTTAGCATATGATAGTTAAATTTTCATAAATAAAAAGAATATAAAATAGATAGGAAGAAATTTAAAAGAAGTAAAATGAAAATTAAA